ATATAGATAGATATATAATAAAAGATGGACAGCAAAATGTACAGATAAGTCAAAAAATGTCTTTTGCATCTTTATCTTAAAAAAAATATATACTTTTTTCATGTCAGTCAATTCTGAGAAAGCGCTCATTCTTTTTTCAGTCACCTTTGATTGATTTGAATCAAATGCATAATGTATAAACGTGCTTTTCTCTGATATCTTATATTTCCTCTGTCCCACCAGCCTGCGATATGAATGTCCATAATCAGTGTGTTATGAATGTGCCCAGCCTGTGTGGAACTGATTACACTGAAAGGAGGGGGCGTGTTTTTCTCAAGTGTGAGGTCAGCGGAGATAAACTGCAGGTCACAGGTAGGCCTCATAACCCTTCATAGACTCTTAATGAAATGAGCTTATAATGCAGAGGGGATGTACCTGAACCGACAGATTTATACTAATGTGTCACTCCACATCAAATGGGATGAGGGTATAGATGGTTGCAGACGCTATTGCTCTGGTTCAATTGCAAGCGTGGATCAATCTCAACACTTTACCCTTATTGTCAATAATCTCTGATTGCCCACTTTCACACACACACATTCACTGTCTATCCCCGCTGCCATTACCTGAATTGAACCATCCTCATTAATTCTGCCTCAACTCGGCCTGCATCTGACGCACTGTGTCGAACTTCTAGCTACATAACTAGCCTTGAGACTATCGCCTATCAGTATGCCAAAAGCCTGCTCGCTTCTGGGTCATAAATCGATAAAGTTTCTCCTGTTTAACATTCTGCTGTAAGAAACGATTCACAGTTTCGACACATTTGGAAGGCAATCCCAAACCAAATATGTAGTCCTGCAGTGGTGTGTGTGGTCTGCTGCGTAGGCCTTGTGTTGATACTTTATTTAAACAGTCACGACTCGCTCTGCGTTTGCTGGATTTTCTATGTAACTGAATTGTCTCTGCAAAGCAAATTCAAGGCTTGATTTTATTAATTTATGTCCAGTCAGAATTACACACAGACAGGATCTGAGTGTTCTCCTTGTGAACAGGGTCATGGCACTATAATTATATGTCTCACTATTATTCATTTGAAGGCTGCTTTACATGATCATGTCACTGGCTGTTATTGGTGATGCATCTGGTTTTAAAGAAACATCTGTTAAGCTTATTAACAGATGTGATATATTGTTGATAACATTTCCTTAGTGCAATATATTAAATATTGATGACATGTTCCATAAACCTTCTGAAGGGGAAATTGTTTCTTGCAGCCATTTGTTATGATTATGTTAGCAGGCAAAAAAATAGCAAGGTGAGAAAGATACAGTACTGTGCAGAAGTCTTGACTCTAGCAGCCTGTCAGCATAGAACATAATTTGTTTTCATTTATTTTGTTGAATCTATGAAAAATGCCAAAGACAACACAGTTTGAGAGGCTTGAAACAGTATTACTGCACCAACAAGGTGATTCCCAAAGAGCTATTAGCTGAAAACTTGCCATATCCTGGCATGTTATGGAGTGTGTCTTTAAAAAAAACTGAGGAAACTGGACAAGTGAAGGTTAAAAGTCTTTGTCTGTGTGCTGTTTGTCCCGTCTTACTGCCATCACCCTTCACCGTTCAGCGGCAGATCACCGCCCCTCCCTGAGCCTGGTTCTGCTGGAGATTTCTTCCTGTTAAAAGGGAGTTTTTCCCTCCAGCTATCGCCAAGTGCTTGCTCAAAGCGGGTCGTTTGATTGTTGTAGTTTTCGGTGAATTATTGTAAGATATTTACCTTACAGTTTAAAGTGGCTCGTGGCAACTTTTTATGATTTATCTAAATAAAACTGAATGAAAAAAACATTTAAAAAGAAGATGTGTCAGACATAAAGACTCTGAGTATCTGAAAATCATGTTTTTAAGAAATAAAAAGTCCAGAAGACATGACAGGACCTGAGAGATGCATCTGGCTCTTAAGTTGATCCATTTATTGTTGACAGAAGGCTCATCATAAATGGTCTCAGTGGAAGGGTGCCTGCCAAGAAGTCATTCAGACAGGAGAAAAGACTGAGGCATGACAAATGAGGAGCAGCTCAAGATTTTGTCATTTTTAGTGTCACACCAGTCTAGGATAAAGATTCATGTCTCTCAACATCATGCAGTAAGTTGTCTCTACACATAAAAATGTCTCAGGGTTAAGGATGGAAACTTACTAAAATATAGCAAATCCATTATGAATGTCACTTATCAATTCCTTATTGAGAGTCAACACCAACTCTAAGCAGCATATCAAAGACATTAGAGTTATGCAAATTAATTGCATGCTGTGTGGTCAATTGTTTGTGCATGTTGGAGGTATTTCCCTCTTTGTTGTGATCAGTGTTGGGGTTGTTACGCAAAAAAAAAAAAAAAAAAATCCCTACCGTAATGAGAACACACATATGATCTTTCTCTTAGTATTTAGGTATGAACACAAAGCCAAAAAACAGCAAAATTAAAAACCAGCACAAAGAGACTTAAACGCGATCGGTTCAGTGATTCTACAGCAGAAACATGAACAGGTAGAAATGGAGGTTGTAGCCCGATTTCTGTTGAAGTTCAGGGTCTGACTGCTGGGCTGGGGTCGGCATTCACTTAGCTTTCACATGACTCTGGGCTCTTGGATAGCTTAGCATTAGCATACTGTCTGGTTAGCGTAGCGTTAGCAAGCTTTCTGTGCAAAGAGTCATAGTTTTGTTAGCAGCATAATGCAGCTGTTTCTGCCTTGAAGGCAGTTTACACTTTAGCATTGCACTCTCGTCCGTGTTTGCTATGAAAATAAAAGCACTGATAATATTCATGCTTTAGACTGCGGCTCTATTTTTCTTCACTAACACACGAACTGAAATCAGCTGATTGCAGTGCAAGTGGAAGTGGAATCATAAGCAGGATTAATATGCAAGCAGAGTAACAATTCCAAGGATTGCCATCCCTACTCAGGATGACACATCTTGAGCACAGGATTGTTAAAAAAAAGAAAAAAGGTTTTTGACCTCCTGCGAAATCTATTTCCTACTTTTTCCACCAGCTGGTGTCATTTTGTGTCAGTCTATCTGCGTTTCTCTCTGTGTCTGTGTTTGACAAAGTATATAATAACACAGTATATCCAACCAGACAGATACATAACTGTCTGACTACAAATAATTCACAACCATAAAAGACAAAGTTATTAAACTTTGTATCCAGGTGTGCAGTAGTGATCAAAATGAATGCTGGGTTTGAAGACAGTTACAGTCTTACTTATGAGTACTGAGTAAAGAAAGCTGAAATAAGGGGTCAAAAGGGTTGAAGCCCCTTCCGACTTTAGGCCTCCTGTCCAATTTTTCTCTCTCTTTGCTTTTTAGAGTGATCCTATCACAAGATAATCTCCAGTTTCTATATAATTTATGTGTTTATTTGTCTTTTGCATGACTGGGCTAGCCAATTTCCAAATATAAACAGCATGCAACAAGATGAAGTGTTTTCGTTTATAAATAACAAATCATTTCAGTTTTCAATTGTTGTATTTGCAGACAGCATAAAATAATCCTTTCAGAGCAAATAATGTCTGACCAGCTGCTGTAGCTAAGCTGAGATAATTTCATACGTAATCTGTCAAATGTATTTGCTGTTACATTCACAACTAAATGTGGCACAAAATGAACACTGTTAGATGGTGTTAGATGCTGCCATTTGTGCAGATTCTTCAGTGTTCAGTATGCAGCTGTTCTGGGATGTGTGGTCCTAATTGTGCATTACTGAACAAAACTCTGTTATCAACAGGGACAGTTTGTACCAGCTTAATAATAATGATGCTAAATGTAGAAGAATAAAGGGGAGCAAAAATAGGTTTTTATACCATTCTGTGCAAAATATAAGACAGCAAAGGAATGGTTAATATTGATTTTCAGCTCTTTATGTAAAAGGTTATAAAAATAGTGCACTGTAGACAGTGAACAGTTGCCCAACTGTGCAGTCTATAATGAAAAAAGAAGAACCCAGCAGTGTGTGTGTCATGTAGGAACCCATTTTGTGTTGTATTTCAAGGCATGCTGTAAATCCCCTGGCTGAAATGATGCATTAGCACATTAGCTAGAACAATAGAGATGGCAGGGAGTTGACAGCAGCCACACATAATCACTGAATTAACTGGCTAAAAGGGGTCAGTGCATTACAAGTCCCTGCTGAACTTCACTGACATTCACTTATCAAATTAACACTAGAAGAAACAGGGTCAGCGTTGGCAGGGAAATGGTGCAAATGTTAGGGAATATGTTTTGAGTGAGGAACAAAATTAATTGGATGGTTATATCTTTTCTGTGCTTATCTAAGTGTTATCTAAGCACAACTGTACTCATTTTTTTGTTTTGCTTTCCTTGGCTAAAAATAGAAAAAGGAGCAGATGGTCATTTTTCTCCTCCTATATACCTATATACCAATATAAATCAATGATTATGATGGATGTGGACTAATTTCATGCAAGATAATGCAAATACCTGGCTTTGACCTTTGGCACTATTAGTAGAATTATTGCAGTTTATAGTAGTAATACACTTACCTGCTGGGTTAAGCGTTGGGATTTTAGGACTCTAATTAATCATTTGGATGCAAAAAAAAAAGTGTGACATAAAACATAAAGTACAACTATACCCATGAATAACCAAGATTAGGTTTATTCATTCAAGATCGCTCTGCTTCTTATGCTTCTCGCGCTCCTTCTCGCTTTTGCACATTCAGTCTCATCTGGTTGCCAAATTCAAGAAAGGATAATAATATCCTGCTGGCATTTTTGGCCGCAGCTCCTTCAGAAGCATTTTAGTCCAGTATTTCTTTCATTTTTGTTGAAATCTGCACTGCCAGCGTATCTCAAGATAATAAAAGGTGGATTGTTTCGCACATTTTCACACATACTATATGCACTGTGTGTGAAAACGCCTGCTAATTTTAAGCTTACATGCGTTTAAGAGCTCACGAGTGTGCATGTGTCTACATCGGGAACAGGAAACCACGATTATCACCTCTAGCTGCATTTCATTTGACTCTCGGCCTTCCGAGGCACATACGATCAAATTCCTGATGTGGACTCGGTGAGTTCAAATTTGCATGTGATCTCTGGTTAGCTTTAGTGTGTGCATGTGTGTTTGCGTGTAGGTGTATTTCTGTAGAACTGCTGTACCAGCCTGCAGCCCACTCAAGCCAGATTGCATTGCTGATTACATTAGCTGCTGTAGATGCCCCGCAGACAGCCTGCCAAACAGAGTCCTGTTACAGCCAGTCAAAAAGTTTACAGAGAAGGTGTAGCAGACAGCTGGGAACAATAAAGTCCACATCATTTTCACATGCATCATTCCACACAGAAATATGAGTGTT